AGTTTTTTTTTTTTAACAAGTCGGCCGTCTCCCACCGAGGCAGGGTGACCCAAAAAGAAAGAAAATCCCCAAAAAGAAAATACTTTCATCATCATTCAACACTTTCACCTTACTCACACATAATCACTGTTTTTGCAGAGGTGCTCAGAATACAACAGTTTAGAAGTAAATACATATAAAGATACACAACATATAGTACCTCCAAACTGCCAATATCCCATAACCCCCCCCCCCCTTTAAAGTGCAGGTATTGTACTTCCCATTTCCAGGACTCAAGTCCAGCTATATAAAATAACCGGTTTTCCTGAATCCCTTCACTAAATATTACCCTGCTCACACTCTAACTTTTTTCTCAAGCCAAAATTGTGATTTATATTCTGTGACTTTTTTCCTGTGACTTTTTTTTCTGGACACCGTTCTTATCTATGGGCAACCCATGAATAGCATAAACTATCCATTTTTCTGGCTCAATGGCTTTCTCATGCCTAAATCTCTTTTTATTCTGGTCATTATCTGTTATAAATGTCAATATTATCCAGATTAGAATAATACATTGTTTCCGAAACACAAAATGAACAGAAATCAGGATCTGATGTGCAAACTGAATTTGCAATATTCATGATTTTTAGTTTTGCAATACCACTAGCAATTTTGTAGGGATGACAGTACAGAGCAACAGAGTAAAAGTATCTTGTATAATCTGCAACAGTTGCTTAGTGTAATTTCACTCAGCAACTAAGGATACAACAGAGACCAATTTTGCTTATTGAGAACTTGTTCCTTGCACTAAGCAGGCAGATGTGTCCACCTGGTGCAAAAGCTCATAATCACAAAAGTTTATAATTAGAATTGTACTGGATTAATAATGATTAGTTTAACACTAAGTGTCAGAGAGCCAGGGAAAAGAAAGGACTATAGAAAATAGGCAAACTGAGAATTATTATTAGGGATGGGGCGATACCAAGTTTTTTGCCTGTACCTATACTGACACCGACACCATGAAAATTAGAGAATACACACTACTGATACCAATTCCATTAAAATTAGACCATACTCATAAATACTGACACAAATACCATCAAAATTAGCTGATACCACTGATACTAATACAATGGCACATCCCTAATTATTATTAATATTGATACTCTGGTACACCCCTAATTATTTTATTCATGGGAAAGTACTAAAACCATAAGGTCAAACAGAACCTAGGAAAGGGGATGTAATCAGGTAATATCTGAGGAAGAAAGGGTTGACCTAATTCCATGGATCAAGAACCCTTTACCAGGATCAAGGCAATCCTCAAGAAGGGAGCCAACCCAGGAACTTGTCAAGAGATTCAAACTAGCCAGAATGAGTACACAAAGGTAAGTAGGGAGAAAGAAGCAGTCTTTGAAAATAAAAGAAAGTTGAGAAGAGAAGAGGAAGACAGAGCCAAGTCCTTAAAGTGTGTAGAAGGCAAACTGAATGTAAAAGACAAAATGCAAAGAATTGAGGACAATAGCAAAAACCAAGGAACTAGATGAAAAAAATGTTTAAGATACTGAACTGTGAAGTTCCAGAGTGTATTTGCATAGGAGAATACTTTAGATGTAGATGATTTAAATCCCAAACAGCTACTTGATATGGAGGGCAGTGAGCTACCTAAAGATGTGTTACAGGAGGAGGCCACTGAAATATCCAAAAACGAGTTAAAGAAGATATTAATGAATGGTGATAAGAAAAAAGAAATCTGACAAAATGAAATAACACCATGTATATAAATTAAATTATAACCTCTGAATAGTTTCTGAAATGTCACCACAGTAAGGTAAATTGACAAAGAAACAGAAAATGTTACACATGTTTATTCAGCATCTACTTTCGCTGAAATTTAACTTAGTCATAATTAACCCTTTGACTGTTTCTGACGTATAAATACGTCTTACGAGCCAATGTTTCTGACGTATTTATACGCACAAATTCTAGCGGCTTCAAATCAAGCGGAAAAGGCCTGGTAGACCTACATGAGAGAGAATGGGTCTCAGTGGTCAGTGTGCACCCTGTGAAAAAAATCTGGGACCCAGCGGTGCATTGTGGGAACGCCATGTTGTTAGTCCATTTTCACCATGCCTCTCGGTAAAAAGTTCCTCACTCCTCGGCGGATTGGAGGTCTTTTGTTCCCAAGTGATAGCTCTAACAGCGATGAAAATGTCAGTGACAGTGAATTCCAGGGTTTTGAAGTGAGTGTTTACCGGAAAAAGTGCCCAGGATAACGTAATTAGTGATGAAAACCCAGATGACCCACAACCTTCCACCTCTGGTGCTGGGCCGGCTTGTTCACGTTCATGTTCGCCTGTACGAGGACGAAAGAGGAAACTATTTGGTCGTGTACAACACCAAGATGTTAGCAGTGATAGTGATAATGATAGTGATTTCAAGGTCATTGAAAGCAGTTCTAGTGAAGTGAGAGTGAATATTCCCCGGTTGAAGCGGAGTCAGTATGTACGACATAGCATGCGGTTGGTAGTGTTTCATATGTGTTCCAAGGGGAGGAGAAACTCTGGGAGCACATCGTGGCTACACCACGAACTGATAGTGAAGATGACGATATTGTACCGATGGGTATGATGGACTGTGAGTGATGGAGCAGGCAGTGGTCGGTGATAGTGAGGGTGCACGGCCCATATGGCACCATCAGGCGGGCCATTGCACTACCCACGCTGCTGACTCTGCACAACAACCAGGCCTACCCTACCCCCAACACTCCCACAACCTGCACCACCACAACCTGCACAACCACTAACCATGGTACAATATCCAGACCCCACCAGCAGACGCATCTGGGATGGCAGGCCGGTGACGAGTTGTTCCCAGTCCCATGACGTTGATGAAACACGAAAGTGGAATAAGCCATCTTGTCCACTGGAACAATGCCAGTAAACTGGACTGCTTTTGAGTTATTCTTCGATGAAACCCTGATGGACATCATTGTCAGGGGAAACAAACAAATACTGTGATTACACATGGAAATATATTTCTCTCAACAAAAATCATGGCTACACAAGTGGAAGGATACAACTGTGGCAGAGATGTACTGTTTTTTGCCACCAATAATGCTTATGCCAAATGTGTTAAAGACACTGTTACCACTTACTGGGCAACAGAACGCCTGATTTCAACTCCAGGTTTTAAGTGACATTTAATAGGTTTCAATCGTTTCCTGATCTGTTACGTATGATTCACTTTTCAAGACAAACCAGGCCTGACAGAAGCGACAGGTTATATAAGATCAGAAATGTGTTTATGTACCTGAAACAAAGTGCGCATGTATTTTTATCCCTTAAGGAAGTTGTTATGATGAGTCTTGGATTTTATTCAAAGGAAGACTCTATTAAGCAATACATACCAAGCAAGAGGAAACACTTTGGTATAAAGCTATTTGTACTGTGTGATTGCAGAAGTGGTCAGTTTTGGATTTCATTGTGTACACTGGCAGTAATACTTTGAGAGATACCATGAAGTTATTGGGGTACTTGGTGATGTGGTTGAACAATATGGAACCATATCTGGTCAGGGGCATATGTTATTTACTGATAACTGGTAACACAAGCCCCTTACTCAAGTGTTACTGCTAGTGAAACTTGACAGACGTGTGTGGACAGTTGCGTCGTAATCGTAAAATATGCCAAGGTTCGCGCTGCACTCGCAGAGGTGAGGTGCAAGCCTCTTTGCTGCCATGACATCATGGCATTTCGGTGGCATGACCAAAAACGTGATGTCCTAACTGTTGAACATCAGTTACAGAAAATGAAATGGTACCCAGTGGCAGGGACAACAGAGAGACCAATGAAACCTTTCTAAAGCCTGCAGCGCTGTCATGGACTACAACCTCAATATGCGCTTAGTGGACAAATGATGACATGCAGATTGGTTTGCAGACTGTGTACGCATGAGTTTTAAGTGGCATATAAAACTTTTTTCATCTTGTTGATCCTCTATGCTCAAATGCTTATAACATATACAAGTTGAAGGACCAACAAAACACCAACATATGGTGAATTTTGCCTGTTCGTAATCAGACAAACTAATTGCAAATAGTACCAAGGAAGCAATCCATGCATAGAACCAGCGCCCACACACGTCATCTCGTTTCAGGCCTGGTGATCACTACCCCATACAACTGCCTCCTACTACTGCCAAAAAAATGCTCTGAAGAGAGTGTTATGTTGTATGCATACCACAAAAACGCCCACAAACACGCAGGACACTCGTTGTATGTGTGAGCGGATGTGTGAATTGCCCCTCTGCATATACCCATGTTTCAAGAGTTCCACAGCTGAGCGTTCTAGGGAACGTGTTTTAGTGGACTGTACATATGTATATTTATTATGGAACAATAGTAATAAACATTGTTTAGTATTGTTGTTAGTGTAAACAAAGTGTATACACAAAAACGATTAGTGATAAGTTGTTCTGTTATTGTGTTGTAAACAATAAGTGTATATTTGAAGAACATTACATTGGTTCACAGGCCACATAAGTTACCTGCACAGAAAAACTATTGAAAAATGCCAAGAAACCTTGATTAGAGTAAATAAAAGAATAGCAGGTGAGCGGCAGTCGCCGCTGTTGCTGTACGCACGTCACTTTCTGCAAACTTTGCGGCTCTATATCTCGTTAAGTACTGATGGCAAATTTTTTTTTTAGGCTTAAAACACTCACAAAAATATTCCTAACATTTTCATAAGAAAAAATATTTTTTTTTTTTCGAATATTTGGCGACATAGAATGACAGTTTCAGAGAGGGGCCTGAAACAGTCAAAGCGTTAAGATCATCCTCAAATATAGAAAAAGCAATATAATAAATAAATAAATAAATTCAATAAATAAATAATGAGTGAACACCCTATAAAAAGTTAAGAATCAGTTAACTTTAGTTCATTAATGATAAGGAGCTCTATATTCTATTTTCAATAATTACGAGGACAGAGAAATAATACAGCATATCCTTGCCTTACCAACTGGAATTTTATTAATAATGGTAGCATGGAGGATGGCTGAGGTTTCTCTTAGTCCAACTTCAGTGTGGAATAAACTTAAACTTCTAAGTTTTCTTAGCAGCTGCTGGAGGCCATCAGTGTCAGACAAGTGGTGTACACCCATCATGATGCCTTCTAACAAATACACCTAGAACAAATGCTTCTTGTTAATAAACAGCATGTTTCATAACGACCTTGTTTAACTACCCTAGATACAGTTTATCATTTAACTGTTAAAAATCACTGCTTAAACTTGTAGATTCAGCCCCCAATGAATTGTGTCCAATACCATATGTTTATTAAATATAACCAGGGTAAAAACATTCGTCAACTTTCATATTTGTGTACCTATTGTCACCAATATATTTCTGCCTTTGATAATTACCAAAAATTTTATATTCCATTATTATAGTTTGTATTGTTAATATTATGAACTGACTGTTTATTTTTAATACAGAATTATGTATTACTAAAAAATATTATAACAATCAATATTCACTATCACTATTTTATACACAAAATGTACTAAACTCGTAATGCAAAAAGTCTTACGTCAACTGTATATATATATATCTTTATTAGTACAGATCCTCCGTGACTTCCAACGTATGTGACTTACGTCCATCGGCATACACAACCGAAATGCAGCATAAATCAGAAAAATAAAGAATATACATCTACAGCTGTGATGACCCACTGACACCAACAAGTACAAGTGCACGGCCAGAACTGGATTAAGATTTTGTAGGCCCCTGGGCTAGAAGGTACTGTTAAGCCCCCCAGTGATATTTTCAAAAGGAAAAAAAATAAATTTCAACAGTCAACAGTTCATCATATATATGTGATGTAATAACATAGTAACTCTTTCACTTAATCTCCAGAGGCCCTCCAGCTGGCAGAGGCCCCTGGGCTACAGCCTCTATAGCCCATGCCTTAATACGGCCCTGAGCGCACTGAAGGGATCAAGCTCAGATGATGAAAATTTTGATGAAATGATAAATTAAATGTCTTTTTTTTTTTTGTGCTATTTCACTTATTTATATTGCAATACATTCTATTTTTCTATGAATTGTATGCTTTGCCACAATAAACCAAATCTAATGTAATCTTTAGGTTTTTCATTACCACAAAATACTTTACAGTGATAGAATACACAGAAACTAAAGAATGGTATTTTTAAAATGATAAAACAGAAAATAAAGAATGATAAATATACTTACTCTTAGGTAGTAGGTTGGTAGACAGCAACTGCCCAGGGAGGTACTACCGCCCTACCAAGTGAGTGTAAAACGAAAGTCTGTAATTGTTTTACATGATGGTAGGATTGCTGGTGTCCTTTTTTCTGTCTCATGAAAATGCAAGATTTCAGGTACGTCTTGCTACTTCTACTTACACTTAGGTCACACTACACATACATGTACAAGCATATATATACATATCCCTCTGGGTTTTCTTCTATTTTCTTTCTAGTTCCTGTTCTTGTCTATTTCCTCTTATCTCCATGGGGAAGTGGAACAGAATTCTTCCTACGTAAGCCATGCGTGTTGTAAGAGGCGACTAAAATGCCGGAAGCAAGGGGCTAGTAACCCTTTCTCCTGTATAAATTACTAAATTTAAAAAGAGAAACTTTTGTTTTTCTTTTTGGGCCACCCTGCCTCGGTGGGATACGGCAAGTTTGTTGAAAGAATAAGAAATATACTTACTCCTAGGTAGTAGGTTGGTAGACAGCAACCGCTCAGGGAGGTACTACCGTCCTACCAAATGAGTGTAAAACGAAAGCCTGTAATTATTTTACATGATGGTAGGATTGCTGGTGTCCTTTTTTCTGTCTCATGAAAATGCAAGATTTCAGGTACGTCTTGCTACTTCTACTTAACTTAGGTCACACTACACATACATGTATAAGCATATATATATACACATCCCTCTGGGTTTTCTTCTATTTTCTTTCTAGTTCTTACTCTTGTTTATTTCCTCTTATCTCCATGGGGAAGTGGAGCAGAATTCTTCCTCCGTAAGCCATGTGTTGTAAGAGGCGACTAAAATGCTGGGAGCAAGGGGCTAGTAATCCTTTCTCCTGTATAGATTACTAAATTTAAAAAGAGAAACTTTTGTTTTTCTTTTTGGGCCACCCCACCTCAGTGGGATACGGCCAGTTTGTTGAAAGAAGAAGAAATATACTTACTGTACTGTGTTTGTTAAAATCATAAAAAGACTAAAGAGGTAAAAGGCAGCATTGAAATAACGAGTAACAAGAAAACTGATAGGCCTAGCCTAGGCTATATTCTGTACAGCATTTTTATTTGTGAAGCCTATGAATGACATCCACAAGTAAGGAACATCAGTTTGTGAGTAATGAAACTTGAGGTAATAAAGCAGACTGATTAAAAAAATGAGATAATCATGAGAGAAATTTATAGGTTAAAAGAATGCTGTACAGGTATACGACTTTTACATGCCATGCTAACGTAATTCCCACATCCATCTATTTCGAAATCCAACCAGTAGGTCAGAATGGAACTCAGACGTAAATCAGGGAAGCTCTGTATTAAGTAGTTTTAGTACTAGTTTCAGTCTGCCCAAAATGCTATACATAACTATGGGACTTTTCAATTTTTTACTTTCAATGTCTTGAAATACTGTGTATTTTAAAAAATAAATTATTACCTATATTATTAGTATTTTTATTATTATTATTTTAAGAATTATACAGTAAGTTACTATTTATATATATTACTCACAGAACATCATATTAAATAATACTTCTGGACCTGTATCTGTTTGTCAGTCTGTCCTGTCAAAGTTTCACTGCAATTTTTAATTTAAATGGGAACGAAAAACTTGAATAAATCTGCTAATGTTGAATATATTATCAACTGTTTATTACAGATTTATAATTACAAAGTAACCAACTTATCAATACCATGAATGATGCACAAGGATGGCTTTCATCAGTGATGTTGGACATCAGTTTCCTAATCTCTGGGTATTTGGAGACATATTCACCTGCAGGTCCTTCAACTTCCTCTGCTCCTTCCAGCGTAGCCAAGTTTATGAATGACTCAACTAGAGGCTGCGGGTTACTGCATGAAGAGTATCAGCAAAAATTAATAGTAAATTATATACTTAGCCCTTAAAAAAAAAAAACATGTATTAATGAGTTCTCTTCATCCATGTATTGTAGAAGTCATCATTTGGCCAGACTCACACAGTTGATCATGAAAGGCCTTATAAGAACAATGACCTATAGCTCAATGGCAGAGCATTCGGCTCACAACTAAAATGATCTGAAGACAGATTGCGAGCCCTTAACCTCCATTCATTTGTAAGATGTAGAATGAGGTAAGACATGACTGATATGTGTAAGTGAAAGATGAGCATAAATAAAGAAGATATAAATAAGGTTCTGAGCAAATTTTTCCAAGAAAGAATTCAAATAATGGATTCAAATTTAATCAGTTTAAGTTTAGAAAGGATGTATAGACAAACAAACACACAAAATTTATTTCTGTGTGTAGTATACAACATGTAGTTTACATGTAATAAAATATTGTTAAGCACAAAAGAAAGCCACTAACATGCTTGTGCATTTTGGGCAGAGGATAATGCCAATAGCATTTGGTGCTCCCAGGTGGTCACCCATCCACGTACACGTACTAAGCAAATGTAACATTGCTTAACTACGCTGATTGGATGAGAAACGGTGCTTACAACATGGTATGGCTGTAGGAGAGTACTGATTTGGAATGAGCTAAGGCAAATGCTTTTAGTTTATAAAATTCAGTAGTGCAAATATAAGATTCTCCAGGAGGCCAAATGTGCTGCCAAGTCTAGGCAGCAAGTGATACAAGGGAAAGTGGATAACTCACACTGATTTCACAGTTTCTCTTTCATGTTAGATTTTCAATGTCCTCATCAACAGCAGTTTTTATAACAAAACAAATTTATAGTTTTTGTTCACATCTCAGAGTATTTTAACCATTTCAGTGTCAGTGACATAGAGGTACGGCTTACAAGCCCGTGTCGGTAATGCATAAATACACCAAAATTCTATTGGCTTCAAATCTAGCAGGAGAAAGCTGGTAGACCTACATGTGAGAAAATGGGTCTGCATGGTCAGTGTGCACAGAATAAAAAAAAATCCTGCAGCACGCAGTGCATAATGAGAAAAAAAAAATCCGACTGTGTTTTTGGTTTAAAATGCCAACTTTGAGGTGTATTTTCATATGGTATTTATGGTTGTAGTCTCGTTTTCCTGGTCTCATTTGACAGAATGGAAGATATATTACAGAAACACAGATGATTTTGATTGGTTTCACGATGAAAAGTACCTTGAAATTGAGCTCAAAGTAGCAGAAATGTTTGATTTTTGCTGACGTTCAAGAGTAAACAAATGATATCACCATCTAACATGTGTCCAACTGGCCAGTCTAATACACAGCCATGAATGGGTTGACATTATTTATACAATTATTACAATAATGCAGTAGTCTGCATAACAGTAAATCTAGTTTTTGTGTGAATAAAAATTCAAAACGGAAAGCAAGAGTAATATAAGAAGGACCTGGAGACATGACTAATGAACGGAGAAAATGTTATTTGAGTGCCAGGAATGTCTGCATTGTTTATTCTGGACCCTATTCTGAAATTGGCATCTTTTGAAATTTGTGTGAAATTGGCCAAATTACCAATTTCTGACCACTTTACTGGGTAGTTGAAACTGGTAAATGGGCAGTTTTTTGTGCTCAATAGATAAAACAAATGGAGTTCTAGCGAAATAGCTATGAGTTTGGTCGGCTAGAACAATGGAATTGGCCAAAAGTAGGGCTCATCGTGGACAAAATTGCCAAAACGTATATTGAGACCAATAACTTCGCAAGAGCATAATTCCATAATTTTTCCATCAGATTTCATATTTTTGGTGACAATACCATCGGGAAAAGATTCTCTATCATTTCATAAGAAAACAAAATTTTTTTTTTTAAATTCTTTGACAATGAGAGCAAATTTGTGAGTAGGGGTCTCAACAGTGAAAGAGTTAAGCATGAAAATTAGTATCTTATTTTCAGTTAATGTATTATAAGATTGTATACAGTATTTTGAATAAATGAGGTACTTACCTAAGTCTGGCCACTAATATCCTACAAACACTGGAAAGGCATCGAAGAACTGAAACAGTGTTGGCCACGTGTGAAGTAAGAATGGTAGACATGTAGAGGCTAAGTACTTTCATAATGCCATTCCAATCCTCCAGTATGTAGGTTTGGCATTCATGTTCATTTGCATTCTTCAAAATCTGCAGGGAAAAAATTACAAAAATAAATATGAGTCTGTTGCAAAATACATCTAAAAATATAGTTACCATACAAAAGTGTTGAAAATCTGAAGGTGACTAGATGAGGTGTTCTTGAGCTATGAGTGAAATAAAATAAAAAAAATGTTGGAGGAAGCAATGAAAAAAAATCAGGCAACCTCTTAAAGGTACCCTTACAGGGATACCTAATAATCCAAGCTAAGCCTTACCTCCAACTAATGAATGAATGTGATATCTGACACTCTTAATACTATTGGAGACAGCATACCTACTGTTCTGTCAGATGTGAAGGCCAACAGAAAAACTGTCTTTTGTGTAACATATAGATTCTGTTTCTTAAATAAGGTAAATTTGGGGGTGGAATAAATACTTCAGGAACATTTCTAATTGCCACACCAGAATCCTTTCAGTGGCTGAGTAAATCTTAAAATATCACACCTACAGTGTGATATTTTAAGTCCCTGCTTTACCTGTAGGGTGGGTCCTGCCTTATCTGCATGGTGCATCATATCTTACCTGTATGGTGCATCCTGCTTTACCTGGTTAGGCCCACCACTTGGAGTGTACCACTGTATTGTCAAAAAACTCTATATTGCAGACAAAGAGATATGGTACCTAACTGAGAGAGACTGTAAGAATGACTGGTGTTGTGGTGTTAGACTTGACAATGGCACAAGGAATGAGCATTCCCAAAAGAAAACAGAAAAGGGGCTAACTTTGCTAAAAAGTGATAGAGAGGTACTAAACTGGTGGTTTATAAGGTAAAGCACATAGGTGAGATTCATAGTGGTTCATCAAAAATTCTACACAGAAAATTGATCATGATACTCAGAATTTGTAAACATACCAATTACTGTACTGAACTTGATGAATATACTAGTATAGTACTATGCAGTAATGTTAACTTAATCAACTTCAAATGTTAGTTATGGTGCAACAAGAGAGGATCACCTTTATCACACAGGAGAGATGGAGACAACACTCATCAGCTGATACACACACAGTATTTTCTGCCAGTCCCCAGATGACAGGCAAAACACAGGAGATCAGCAACCGTCCTCTGGTTAGAATAGCAAGCGTTTCCAAAATCTGGCTCTTGCTGACATGTGAATTAGTTGAATAACCTGCAGGCAACATTATAAGAAGATATTGCAAATCGGACAAGTAAACAAAAAAAAGCATGAGTAGAATAAAAAAATGCAGTACTGTACTTGCTTTAAATGATAGTGAGAAAGTGGTTGGCTGCTTATGTACACAACCAGTGGCTGTGTGCCTAAACACACAAAACAAACGTGGTTACTTGTTGTTTAAAGATAGTTACTTTACAAATTTTTACAACTGCTGAAACTGGTTTGCTCATTATGTATCGGTAATATGCAAATTATAATTTATAATAGTTACTAGTCACCCTAAAGTAATCTGGAAAAAGTAATCTTGATTGCTACATACCCTAGTTTGGGCTCTTGACCCGCTCATAATTGATAGCTAAATTATTCCCGTCTTTCCCCCAATAATAATGGTGGCCACCTACCGAGGTAAAATACTGGAATCTCACAGACAGGTCTGGTGTAGAGACTGTGTTTGGGTAGCAGAAAGAAGGAAAACAAATTCACTATTACTAGTTTCCAAGCTATTTTTCCAGAAGAGGACAGGCATCAAACATTCAAGGATTCATCCAAATGCCACCCCCCACACATCCTTTAGAGTGCAAGCAACGTACATCCTACCTCCAGAACAAGTCTGACTACCTGGTTTTCCTGAATAGTATTTTTTTTAACATGCCAGCCATCTCCCACTGAAGCAGGGTGACCCAATAAAGAAAGAAACACTTTCACCATCATTCAACATTTTCACCATCATTCACACATAATCACTGTCTTTGCAGAAGAGCCCAGATATGACAATTTAGATGTCACTCCAAACAGCCAATATCCCAAACCCATCCTTTAAAGTGCAGGCATTATACTTCCCACCTCTAGGACTCAAGTCTGGCTAACCGGTTTCCCTGAATCCCTTCACAAAATATTACCCTGCTCATACTCCAACAGCTCGTCAGGTCCCAAAAACCATTCGTCTCCATTCACACCAATCTAATATGCTCACACATGCTTACTGCATGTCCAGGCCCCTTACACACAAAACCTGTTTTACCCCTTCCCTCCATTCTTTCCTAGGATGACCCCTACCCCTACTCCCTTCCACTACAGGTTCATATGCTCTCTAAGTTGTTCTATTTTGCTCCATCCTCTCTAAATGACCAAGCCACCTCAACAACCCTTCTTCAGCCCTCTGAATAATACTTTTTGTAACTCCACACCTAATTTCCACACTACAAATTTTCTGCCTAATATTTACAGCACACATGGCCCTTAGACACGACATCTCCACTGCCTCCAGCTTCCTCCTCGCTGCAACATTTACAACCCATGCTTCACACTCATATAAGAGTGTTGGTACCACTATACTCTCATACATTCTCTTCTTTCCCTCTATGGATAACCTTTCTGTCTCCACAGATACCTCGATGCACAACTCACCTTTTTCTTTCACCAATTCTATGAATATAATATCTCCTATTAATATGCATATGCAATATTAAAAATACTGAAGGAGAGGTGTTAATGTTGCAGTTTTATAACTGTAGTGTAAGCACGCCTCTGGCAAGACAGTGATGGAGTGATTGATGATGAAAGTTTTTCTCTATTTTGGGCCACCCTGCCTTGGTGGGAAGTGGCCGATGTGTTAATGAAAAAATAAAAAAAATATTAAAAATTAAATACGTACAGTATATACCAATGTTGAAATAAGCCCAAAGCTTGCTACTTATAAATGATAATCAGTTTCCTGAGACCCTGGGCAAACTTAGATGAATTCATTCTTGGTACATTGTCTACTAGAGTCAAATGTGACTAACATTCTTACCTTCTTCCAATTCCACTAGAAGCTTCGGCAAAATATGATCACTGATGGTCAAAGGCTGGATGTTCCAAAGAGCAACAAAAGTCTGCATTATACTATCTCTGGAAGTAAAAGTTTTTAAAAATATTAGGAAAAGATAAAAACTATAGAAAAATAAACAAAATACATAAAATAATCCATATACACAAGGTAGAATGAAAGGGGTTAAAGCAGCTGGAACTGATGGGATCATGACAGAAATGTTAAAAGCAGGGGATGATAGTGTTGGAGTGGTTGGTATTTTTGTTTAATAAATGTATGAAAGAAGGGAAGGTACCTAGGGACTGGTAAAGAACATGTGTAGTTCCTTTATATAAAGGGAAGGGGGACAAAAGAGATCGTAAAAATTATAGGGGATAAGTTTACTGAGTAGGCTATACAGAAAAAGGGGTTACTAGCCCTCTGTTCCCAGCATTTTAGTTGACTTTTACAACACGCATGGCTCATGGAGGAAAGATTCTTATTCCACTTCCCCATGGATATAAAAGGAAAAGTAATAAGAACAAGAACTATTAAGATAAAGTCAAAGAAAACTCAGATGAGTGTGTATACATAAATGTGTACTTGTATATGTAGTGTGACCTAAGTGTAAGTAGAAGTAGCAAGATGTACCTGAATTCTTGCATGTTTATGAGACAGAAAAAAAAACACAAGCAATCCTACCATCATGTAAAACAATTACAGGCTTTCGTTTCACACTCACTTGGCAGGACGGTAGTACCTCCCAGGGTGGTTGCTGTCTACCAACCTAGTGAGGCTCAGGTTAGGGTGTGTAGAAGAGAGGGGGATTACTTCCCAGTAAAAGAAGGTCTTAGACAGGGGTGTGTAATGTCACCATGGTTGTTTAATATACAGTGGACCCCCTGGTTCGTGATATTAATCCGTTCCTGAGAGCTCATCGTAAACCAAAATTATCGGAAAGCGAATCAATTTTCCCCATAAGAAATAATGGAAATCAAATTAATTCGTGCAAGACACCCAAAGGTATGAAAAAAAAAATTTTACCACATGAAATATTAAGTTTAATGCAATAGAATAATTACAATAACAACAGTAACAATAGAATAATAACAGTAGAATAATTGACACTTACCTTTAATGAAGATCTGGTGATGATTGATGGGATGGGAGGAGGGGAGAGTGTTGAATCTATTGTTTAGAAGGGGAATCCCCCTCCATTAGGACTTGAGGTAGCAATTCCTTTTCCGGGGTTACTTCCCTTCTTTTAATGCCACTAGGACCAGCTTGAGAGTCACTGGACTTCTGTCGCACAACATATCTGTCCATAGAGGCCTGTACCTCTCGTTCCTTTGTGACTTTCCTAAAGTGGTTCACAACATTGTCAGTGTAATAGTCACCAGCACGGCTTGCAATAGCTGTGTTTGGGTGATTTTCATCCATAAAGGTTTGCAGTTCAACCCACTGTGCACACATTTCCTTAATTTTTGAAGTAGGCACAATGGATTCCACAACTGGCATAGGCTTCTCAGGGTTAGCCCCAAACCCTTCAAAATCTTTCTTAATTTCCATACTAATTCTCACCCTTTTTACCACAGGGTTGGCACTAGAAGCTTTCTTGGGGCCCATGGTGACTTATTTTGCAGAAACGAGCACCAAAAACAGTGATAATATGGATAATATGGAATGTACCGAATGTATCCTTAGATGCACACACACTGGCTGGCTTGTAAACACTGGCACACACAGGGCAGTTCAGGCCACATGTGGACATGTCTCGTACAAATCGTATCGCATACTGGGTTTTGTAACAGGAACCGAGGCAAATTTTTTGCGAAATACATCGGATACCGGATTTATCGGATGCCGATAGCACCGCGAACCGGGGGTCCACTGTAATTATAGATGGGGTTTTAAAAGAAATAAATGCTAGGGTGTTGGGGAGAGGGGTGGGATTAAATTATGGGGAATCGAATACAAAATGGGAGTTGACACAGTTACTTTTTCCTGATGATACTGTGCTTATGGGAGATTCTAAAGAAAAGTTGCAAAGGTTAGTGGATGAGTTTGGGAGGGTGTGTAACGGTAGAAATTTGAAAGTGAACATAGATAAGAAAAAGGTGATGAGGGTATCAAATGATTTAAATAAAGAAAAATTGAATATCACATTGGAGAGAGAGAGAGAGTATGGAAGAAGTGAATTTTTTTTTTTTCAACAAGTCGGCAGTCTCCCACTGAGGCAGGGTGACCCAAAAAGAAAGAAAATCCCCAAAAAGAAAATACTTTCATCATTCAACACTTTCACCTCACTCACACATAATCACTGTTTTTGCAGAGGTGCTCAGAACACAACAGTTTAGAAGCATATATGTATAAACATACACAACATATCCCTCCAAACTGCTAATATCCCAAAACCCCTCCTTTAGAGTGCAGGCATTGTACTTCCCATTTCCAGGACTCAAGTCCGGCTATATAAAAATAACTGGTTTCCCTGAATCCCTTCACTAAATATTACCCTGCTCACACTCCAACAGATCGTCAGGTCCCAAATACCATTCGTCTCCATTCACTCCTATCTAACATGCTCATGCACGCCTGCTGGAAGTCCAAGCCCCTCGCCCACAAAACCTCCCTTACCCCTTCCTTCCAACCTTTTCGAGGACGACCCCTACCCCGCCTTCCTTCTCCTACAGATTTAAATGCTCTCCATGTCATTCTACTTTGATCCATTCTCTCTAAATGACCAAACCACCTCAACAACCCCTCTTCAGCCCTCTGACTAATACTTTTATTAACTCCACACCTTCTCCTAATTTCCACACTCCGAATTTTCTGCATAATATTTACACCACACATTGCCCTTAGACAGGACATCTCCACTGCCTCCAACCGCCTCCTTGTTGCTTCATTCACAACTCAAGCTTCACACCCATATAAGAGTGTTGGTACTACTATATTTTCATACATTCCCTTCTTTGCCTCCATATATAACGTTTTTTGACTCCACATATACCTCAATGCACCACTCATCATTTTTCCTTCATCAATTCTATGATTAACCTCATCCTTCATAAATCCATCCGCCGACACGTCAACTCCCAAGTATTTGAAAACATTCACTTCTTCCATACTCCTCCTCCCCAATTTGATATCCAATTTTTCTTTATCTAAATCATTTGACACCCTCATCACTTTACTCTTTTCTATGTTCACTTTCAACTTTCTACCTTTACACACATTCCCAAACTCATCCACTAACCTTTGCAATTTTTCTTTAGAATCTCCCATAAGCACAGTATCATCAGTAAAAAGTAACTGTGTCAATTCCCATTTTGTATTTGATTTCCCATAATTTAATCCCACCCCTCTCCCCAACACCCTAGCATTTACTTCTTTTACGACCCCATCTATAAATATATTAAACAACCATGGTGACATTACACATCCCTGTCTAAGACCTACTTTTACCGGGAAGTAGTCTCCCTCTCTTCTACACACCCTAACCTGAGCCTCACTATCCTCATAAAAACTCTTTACAGCATTTAGTAACTTACCACCTATTCCATATACTTGCAACATCTGCCACATTGCTCCTCTATCCACTCTATCATATGCCTTTTCTAAATCCATAATTACAATAAAAACTTCCCTACCTTTATCTAAATACTGTTCACATATATGCTTCAATGTAAACACTTGATCTACACATCCCCTACCCACTCTGAAACCTCCTTGCTCATCCGCAATCCTACATTCTGCCTTACCTCTAATTCTTTCAATAATAACCCTACCGTACACTTTTCCTGTTATACTCAATAAACTTATTCCTCTATAATTTTTACAATCTCTTTTGTCCCCCTTCCCTTTATATAAAGGGACTATACATGCTCTCCACCAATCCCTAGGTACCTTCCCCTCTTTCATACATTTATTAAACAAAAGTACCAACCACTTCAACACTATATCCCCCCCTGCTTTTAACATTTCTGTCATGATCCCATCAGTTCCAGCTGCTTTACCCCCTTTCATTCTCCATAATGCCTCACATACCTCCCCCACACTTACATTCTGCTCTTCTTCACTCCTAAAAGATGGTATACCTCCCTGGCCAGTGCATGAAATTACCGCCTCCCTTTCTTCCTCAACATTTAAAAGTTCCTCAAAATATTCTCGCCATCTACCTAATAATATTCTCGCCATCTACCTAATAATATTCTCGCCATCTACCTAATACCTCCCTCTCCACATCTACTAACTCCCCTACTCTGTTTTTAACTGGCAAATCCATACGTTCCCTAGGCTTTCTTAACTTGTTTAACTCACTCCAAAATTTTTTCTTATTTTCATTAAAATTTCTTGACAGTGCCTCTCCTATTCTATCATCTGCTCTCCTTTTGCACTCTCTCACCACTCTCTTCACCTTTCTTTTACTCTCCATATACTCTGCTCTTCTTATAACACTTCTGCTTTGTAAAAACTTCTCATAAGCTAACTTTTTCTCTTTTATCACACCCTTTAATTCATCATTCCACCAATCACTCCTCTTTCCTCCTGCCCCCACCCTCCTATAACCACAAACTTCTGCCACACATTCTAATACTGCATTTTTAAAACTATTCCAACCCTCTTCACCCCCCCCCCCCCCACTACTCATCTTTGCACTAGCCCACCTTTCTGCCAATAGTCGCTTATATCTCAACCGAACTTCCTCCTCCCTTAGTTTATACACTTTCACTTCCCTCCTACTTGTTGTTGCCACCTTCCTCTTGTCCCATCTACCTCTTACTCTAACTGTAGCTATAACTAAATAATGATCCAATATATCAGTTGCCCCTCTATAAACATGTACATCCTGGAGCCTACCCATTAACCTTTTATCCACCAATACATAATCTAACAAACTACTTTCATTACATGCTACATCATACCTTGTATATTTATTTATCCTCTTTTTCATAAAATATGTATTACTTATTACCAAATCTCTTTCTACACATAGCTCAATTAAAGGCTCCCCATTTACATTTATCCCTGGCACCCCAAATTTACCTACTACTCCCTCCACAACATTTTTACCCACTTATTACTCACTTATTTATCC